GTGTGTGTGTGTGTGTGTGTGTGTGTGTGTGTGTGTGTGCGCGTGTGCGTGTGTGCAAGCACTGCTGAGGTTTAAGGGGAGATGTTGTCTTTGTGGTCACTGACTTCTCTCTGTTTGCTTGAACACAAACAGCCAGTTTGATTCTTCCCCCGAGCATACACCAACATATAAAGAATTAAGGTAGCACTTTACTTTATTAGCCACCTGTTTAACATTAATAGGCACATAAACCTCAAACAAATGGATTGTGACACACTATAATGTAGTTGTAAGCAGATGCGCGTTTCCTCGTGTTATCATATTGATCCGAGTTTGGGAGTTAAAGCCCATAAAGACTTTTAGTTCTTCTTGTTTTAAGAGGTTTTCATGCATGAAGCAGTTTTAGGAGCAAAATGACGAGCTTTCATTTTCTTCTTCTCTTGTTTTCCTCTCACACGTTACTCAGAGCAGTAAAAGATTCACTTACTGAAAATACTACTAACGTGGTTTGGGCAAGGGCTGCAGGAGGTGTGATGCCGGCTCAGTCGCGGCGTACGCACCAGAGCGTTAGCTGCTCTGTTTGCACGCGATCTGACACGACGAGAACGTTTTAGAAGAACGGTGCGCACCGGAGAGGTCCGGTCTGATAATTGTGCTCATTACGTGTGGCAGCTCTTTGCCACTTGTTTTTCTAAGCCCGGTTTGGGTCTCTGCAGTAAAGATTTGGGGACTGGTCTTTCACTTGAATTCATTCATTCCCCTCTGTGGCAGTAAAAGATGGCGCACGCGTCTTAGGAACTCCTGTCGCCTTTTAGTCCCGACTCTAAGCTACAAACAAAGGCGGCGTCCTGTAGGAGAAAAGGATCATACACTAGACAACCACTGTTATATTTCACTTTTTTTAAAATAGAAATGCGTTTCAGAGTAACATAGTCCCGTTCATGGCTTTTTCTTAATGAATTATACTCATCGTCTGTCTGAACAGCGGGTGTGAAACCTCATATGTAATTATAGTGTGTTATAAACCAGTTGTTGAGTATTTGCAGTGCTCGCGAATGCTCAGCGGGAGGCTTTAAAGCAAAGCGGTACCGAGATTCACGCACATGTTTGCCTCCCGGGTCCTTCCAGCTTTGAACACTGTACATGAAGACACTGAGACGTGTGCTGTATGTGTGCGTGACTGAGCTTTCTGTCGTCTGAACATCTGAAAGCGTTCTCCTCAGTTCCCCCTCTCCTTCCTCGCACTGAAAGCTGAGCCTTGACCTCCTACCAACAGCGACCCCTCCCTTCGCTCCATCCCTCCACTTCACCCCCCCCTCGTCCACCTCCTCCCTTCTTCCCATATCGGCGTGCATGAAAGGGCTCGACTGCTCGCAGCCGGAGCAGCGGAGGGTCACTCCTGAATTGCCTTTTAAGCGTTGGGTCGGGCACAGTAAGGTGGGGAGAAATGGGGGGAGGGGGGGTTTAAAAAGCCGTGAAAAAGTAGCCATACTTGTCTCCCTGATTCCAAAAATTAAAAATAAAATAAAAAATAGGGGCCACGCTTTTTTACATTTTATTTTTCTACAAGTGCATTTTGTGTATTTATTCCCAGAAACCTGTGAGCTATGAATGTATATCGCTTTTACTTTTCTACGGCTAGAAACAGCCCCACTCTAGTGCCTTTTTCCTGCGACTTGCAGTGTGTATATGTGTGTGTGAGTGGGGAGGGGGTGCACTCTGTTAGGCATGCCCACACAGATTGAACCCCACCCCAGCCCCCTCCTCCCCTTGGGGAAACTAGTATTAATTGGAATGCCTGACTATCCAGTATTTTCCTAATAGCTTCCATCCCTGCTTCTCTCCAGTGTCTCTGTAGGCTGTCGCCCCTTTTTATCGATTTCCACTCATCGAGCCCTCTGGGAATTTTCAGAAGGCGGCCAAGATTTTGTTGGCCAGTTTTGGAATTAGGTGTTTTAACGCGTGGTAGTTCCTTCCAGTGCGTGCTGTTCAATAGGCTCCTCCTTCAAGCAGCGTTAAGCGTACCAGCTAACAGCCAAGCGTCCGATATCAAGTCGCCAGGCACTTGAACGGCATCGCTAATAGATGTGAATGCAAGAAAATAAAGACGCTGGTCTTTACATCAGGAATCGGACTGCTGGTCTCACAAAGCTGGCTTCTTCTAACTAATCGGATCAGTGACTGTACGCTGCGTGGCTCATTCTCTTTAAAAATGATGATGGTGATCAACATATTGGCTTTATGCGCTCAGCATCTCAAACATTTAAGACGTGTTAAAAATAGTTTAACCCAGAGGTAATGATATTAGAGACTAGACTGTACTTAGTTTGTTTATTTTAAAGCCAATATTGATATTAAAGGCTTTCAATAATCTGATCTAATTATAATGTAAGTTTATATTGAGCGGTTTTCATTTTCTTCCCCGTTGCTCTGCGGTGCTTCGAGCCAGATCTTTGGTGTTTGTGAGCCTACTTCGGCTCCGGTAAGCGTGCTAGCCGTGGTGATTTATGCATTAATGATCAGGACCTAGTCAACAGAGTACTTGAACAAAGTCAGAAGTGACAATCATCAGTAACGCCCGCTTTAAAAGTTCATTGGAAAGCACGTCGCCGCACTGAAATGGTGTTGAATGATGGAGGTCGACTGCTGTAAACGACGATGAGCTTTTGTGTGGTTGAGAGTACTTTGCACAGTGATTTGAACAATTTAACTCTAATTGAATTGGCAAAAACTATCCTCGCGTGTTTAGTGTGACCGCATTTAACAGACACCATCCCACCAGGTCGGAGAAGCTCCGCCTTCTCCTCCTGCGGTGGACTAAAGGCCAATCATTTGTATGCAATAGTTTTCTTTGCATCAAACCGTACTGTAAAAAGATCATAACACACCAGAGAAGCACAAATGTCGCTTTCTTCACTCTGTGTAATAGAGTCCACTGTAATATCTACTCTTATTTTTAGCTCCTAGTGTTTGATTATTGTTTTCTCTTTACAGTCTTTGTATTTACTGTATATCGTTTACTTTATGTTTTCTCAGACTCTGTCTATGCTCTATATATCTATAACGCTGCTGCAGAAGTTCCCCCTAACGGGATCTTCAGTTTTATCGAACATTAATGACACTACTCTCGATCGTGAGTAGCTTCCTGTTGCGTAATCTGAACAAACGTCTGCTCGACACATTCAGGAGCCAGTTTTGTGAGGCCCAAACGAGTCAGGACTGAGCACGAGTTCTGGACTTATTTGGGGCCTCGATGTTGGTTTTTGTGGCCCCCTTTAGGCTTCACGCTCTCTCAGACACCAGCCCACTGATCTCCTTCCTCGCTTTTTCCTTTTCCTGTGCTTCTGCCCTGACGTTCCGATAGCTTTAATACTTCGCTCTCTCCTTCTGTTGCCTGCCTGGCTCGGCGCCGCACTCCCTCTGCCCTTACCGTAGACGCCTCACGAACACGGACGATGTCTCAAAATCAAAACCGGCATCAACGCCGCCTCATGTGCCCTGCAGTAGCCCCCCCTCCTGCCCCTCCCTTCTTCCTCCCTCTGCGCCACCTTCATTTTTCCCGAGGTGTGCCTCCGTCAGCAGAACTTCAGGCCCGAGAGTGAATTTTGCAGCCGTGTGAGTGACGATAGTGCATCTTGCCTGCGTGTTTGTCAGCGATGGGAGAGAATTTCCAACGAACAACTTTCCTCTCTGTCCTCTGTGCACCGATGTGGGAACTTGGAAGTCCTAGTTCATGAACTCTGACCTTTGACCGGGCGCTCATTCGGTCCCTTGTGGTCGTGGCGGAGACAGTGAATTAAGTGGGAGAAGCCCCACTATGTACCCACAGTCAACGTTTTATTTATGGACCTCTGCACTTTTGGCTGTGATGACTTCAGTACTTAAGTAGTTACCTAAACTGTATTTTTAAGGATTTTATACAATATTTACATGCAATACAATATGAATTGAGTTTGTTTTGTTTGCCAACCATTTGTTTCTTATTTAATTGTCTTTTATTTTGGCATGTGTTCTCGCTATTATTCACAAACATGCCTGTCGATCTGTTTTAGGCATAAGATGTTGGGGATGTTCCCTGTAAAAATTAGTTTTTTTGTTTTGTATCATGATTCTGATGACAGCTGAACACCGAGAAGCACGTGTTTGGGTGGGCGGGTGAAAAACAAACGAAACTGCTGGATGAGCTAAACTTTATCACCCTCTGCCCCGAGTACAAATAACTGGACCACAAGGCGGGACGTGAGGAGTCCACACTTTGGTTCAGCGGAAGAAAAACGGTTTGTTTTTCTGTCGTGTCCAGTTTGGGTTTTCTGCACGTTCGTAAATGTGCGCGCCCAAACGTAGACTGTCATCTTCATTTTATTATGTTAGGACAACTTGAGCCTGAGGAAACACAACATAGAGAAACAAGAGTTGCAAAGTGGGAGGAGATGCTCTGGAAGTTAAAGTGCTATTCATTTTTCCTGGTTTGTTATTTGTTTAAATGTTTGAACCCCTCTCTGGCTTGGATCTGCATAAAACACTGAAAACTGTCTTAAATATTAATATCTGTCTCAGAAGATGTGCTTTAATGAACTGCAACTTGCAGCAAGCAGTAAAGATGACAAGCCTGAGTGATTATCGTTAATGTTGAGGAACATTATAGAAGGGAATGGGAGATAGATGGGAGAAACCCCCCAGCTGTCCCTTCCCTTTGCAACTCTGTGCACAGGGCTGTGAGAGTGGAGCATTTCAGCTGAGTCTATATTATATATAATATGTGTTTAATACAGCAAAGGTAGATTATCTACTGTGTGGATCTTTAGAGGATGAGGAAAAAGCAAAAAAACAAACAAAAAAA